AGCATACAATGCAATGTGCAAGATGCAATTAATCATAATCAATAACAAGCCAAACTTGACTAATGCTCTCACATAGGCACCTAGGGTTTTAGCTCTTAGACATAAGACAAGGCCGCCTCTGGCTTTGGCGATGAATGCATAAAACTTCATCCTCTGATTTCTCGTATGAAAGTCCTTCACCATTTGTAGGAATAAATAGCTACAAAGATTTTTCTGTCATACAACCCCTCCACGATCTTGTAGAATTGGCTAACTACAAAGCTTTTCCCATTCTTCAAGATCGAACTATTCTAACCCCTCTAATGAAGGTTGGAAGCGCCAAAGTCATAGGAAATTTGGATTCCGACCCCCTAAGATTTTGGCTAAGCCTTTTAAAGGGAAGTCACTCAGATTCACAAAAAAATTGGTCACGAATATGCTTCATAACCTAGGGCTTCCTCAAAGAAATTAAATGACTAATCAATATGTGTATAGACGTGTGGACTAATGTTGATCAACTAACTTGCCTAGCATGGACGGCTGAACCCACAACAACATCACAAAATAACTCATCATAACTCTTTTACAACCCCCCCCCCCACAATGACCCCCACAATGCAAATCATCTCCAAGCCCAAAAAAATCCATTTTGTGGCTGCTTGGGGAGGCGCACTATGGTCAAAATGACCTCAAAATTGAGATAAATTGTGTTTTGGAAGTGGTCTGGTGCTTAGGCGCTGAGACCCTGGTGCCTAGGAGACAATAGGTTGCTGTCTGCTTTCCCGGGGATTTGCTTAGAATCTTGGGAAGCAATTTTGGGGGCCTAGGCGCCGGTCTGACCCAAAAATGCTGATTTTCGCGTAAATCATCTGATGGAGGGTTTTCTCGATTTGAGCTATGGAAAGCCATATATGAGTAAATTATGATCCCTTAGCTTCAAAAATAAGTATTTTGCTTGTCCATTGATCGGAGAATTTGTCGCCAACGGGCACTCTGAACTACAGTGCAGGTAGGGCGTTCCAAACCCTAATTTTCCCTTAGTGTGTGTACAAGGGCTCCGTGACTTTCCTTGACCCCGGGGAGGCTCTGAATGGACATGGAGGTACCTCTAATCATCAGAGTGGACATCAAACATGCCCAAGCCCTGAGTAAGTTCGTCCAACTAAGGGTTATTCCGAGTGGGTTTGAATCATCGCAAACCCTGGTTTCGTACCCCGAACACATACCAGAGGTCTCAGATGAATGTCTTGAGCTACAGGATGATACGAGTGAGTAGTAAATTGTCCCAAGCCAATCATGTGGACAACCTACACATGTGACATCAAATATTGATGTCAACAATGTTAAGCTTTATTGAGCTATTTAATGAATGTGTGTGTGTGTGTGTGTGTGTGTGTGTTAATTATATAATGTTAATGGGAAGTCAAAATAAGATAGGATTCTTTAATTGAAGAACTTCTATTTCATACGACTGGGAGGTAGAAATTATTGACTTCATACAATAAGGAAAAGGTAAATGTTGAGATTTTATTTCTTGTAAGTACAAAGTTGATAATGTAAATGTTTATGTGAAGTTTAAATTTCTTAAGGTTAAAAGAGGAAGGCAATGAATCTTAAGGTTAAAAGAATTTAATATTTTTAATCATTACATCTTACATATTTTAAGAAGTTTACATTTAAGACTTTCTTTTTAGGATGTGATTCTTACGGTTACATGCACTTTTAATTAATTTAGGTGTTAGTTAAAGGAAGTGAAGTGAAACTTTAAATTTTCTTAGAGGTCTTTATAGTCAAAGTGAGTAATTATTTTCTTTTATGCCTTAAATTAAATTTAATTAAAAGCAAAATTGTTTTATTAAATGGTTTAAAACATATGTCATTCATGTCTTGTATTGAAAAGTTTGAAATAGTATCACTTATTAGAGAAAAATAATGAGTATATGAAAGTATATTTTAA